AGAGGTATCCACACAAGAATATGAAGAATAATAAATTGAAAAGTTCTATCATGATTTAGAAAAAGTATTAGCATCTACAAAGAATCACTAGCTCAATATTGTCATTGGGGATTTCAATGTAAAGATATTCGTAGTGGAAAGAATATATGTTGGCATCTTTTGTGCAGAAAAGTAACTAGTAATAACAAACATTTTTTAAACTCCCAAAGCGTCCTTCTACATCTAAAGATCATCCGCAGATACACTTAAACAAGTGGTTCGTAAGTAACTAGACGTTGTATTTATAAACAAGAGATACAGAAATTCCGTATTATCAGTCAAAACATCCAAGTGCAAATGTACCACAGATCCCAATATTTTGATAGGTAAAATAAAAATGAGATCTAAAGATTACCAGGGCGAATAAGCAAGCGGTTAATATTGCTGCTTATGAACAGCTGTCTAAGAGGAAAGTAATGAAGAAACCTGGACGAGACGAAAACGAAGGTAGATGACAGAAGAAATACTGAGAGTCATGGACCAAAGAAAATAGTTTACAGAGAACTAATCCACACTATAATCATGTCGAAGAAAGGACATCCAAAAACACAATTACATAGAATGTAACGAAATTAAACACAATGGAAACGAAAACAATATATTTTAACTGCACATAAAACTGAAGAAGATCACCACAAACAAATGGAAATAACTAAATCAGAGTTTAGAAGACAAAAAACACGTAATATTGAATATCAAACAAATCAAGATGTTAGTTTGTTTACGTCCTGGCCTTAAATAGAAGGAAGTCAGAAAAAATTGAGTGAACTGACTGTAGATGGCAATTAATTGGATTCCCGTCGCATGGTGACGGACAAAATCACTAGTTTAATAAAAATTAATTTGGATTAAGTAGTGAGCTCGCATACGGAAGAACAGTGTCCAAGTACCGATACAGAGAAGCAAAGTTGTGCCTAATGTATCAAAGAGGATCTCAGAACATCGACCGGACTAGGTGACACGAAATTGGGCATTAGCCGGCAATTCTTACGCATAATTTTGGTGACAGATATTCCTTTACAAAATGCAGTCAGTGCATCAGCTGTTAGTTGTTGCTTGCAAACGCGTAAAACCTAAGCTTGAGCCGTCCTGAATCTTAACGAGAAGGACGATTTTTCATCGAAAATTATCATGAGCGATGAGACTTATTTCCGTCTTGGCGTAAATAAACAAAGTTATCAGTTCTAATGCCGCAGCTGCAGGCCTGCTGCTGCAGGTCGAATGCCATAATGCCGTAGGCGAAACGACCACTGTGGACGGCGCGCGCTACACAGCTATTATTACCGAATTTTTTCTTCCTCAGTTGGATGAATTGGCACTGGAAAATATGTGGTTTTAACAACGTGAATGACCCATTTTGCTCAAGCCTCAACGTATATTCTCAAGGAAGCATTTCCAAGTCGCTTAATATCTTGTGTTTTTATTTTCGCTGGCTGGCCAGATCATCTGATTTAACCAATCCTTACTTCTTTTTACGACTCTAGAATCCCTTAAGAAGAATATTTGTTAGAAATACGACACACTGTCGCCCAAATTTCTAGCAACAGTCCAAAAATTTTATCAAAACAATTGAAAAAACATTATTCCTGTTCTTTACCGAATCTTCTATCTTAAGTGCCTTGGCCGTTGCGAACGTTGGCTATTACCATGGCAATTCTGATCTTGTTTGCAGCGCTTCTGAATAGTTCGACCGATGTGAGTCCGAACCACTTCCGCACATTTTGGAGCCACGAGTGTCTTCTCCTGCCTGGCCCTCGCTTACTGTCTATTTTTTCCTGGACAATCAGTTGCAGCAGATGGTACTTATCGTGTCTCAGTATGTGGCTTAGATGTTCATGCTTTCTTTATTTAATTGTATTCACGATTTCTTTATCCTTTCCGATTCTTTGGAGTACCTCTATGTTGGTGACATGTTCGGTCCAGGATATACGAAGAATGCGTCGGTACACCCACATTTCGAATGCTTCTAGTTTTCTCGTGAGCGTCTCCGTCAGCATCCAGGCCTCCACACCATATAGTAAAATCAGAAAAATGTAGCATTTAACTAGACGTAGTTTTAGGGGAAGAGACAAATCGTTGCTTATGAGGAGCTTTTTCATATTGCTAAATGCTGCTCTAGCTCGTTCTATTCTCGCCTTAATTTCTGTGGCCTGTTCTTATTTTGCATTTACGTTGGTGCCAAGGTACACATAAGATTCTACATGGTCAATTAGTATGTTACTTATCCGTAATTATCGAGCAGGTTGTTGCTTTTTGCTTATCAGCATCCACTTTGTCTTCTTGAAGTTGAGGCTCAGGCCGTATTCCTCACTAACTGAATAAACTCTTTCCATTACCTGTTGTAATTCGTCTATGGTACTGGCAAGGATCACCGTGTCTGCGGCATATCTTATATTGTTCGTTAACTCGCCATATATATTTATGCGCTCATTTGCATTTTCCATACCTTTGTTAAATATTTCCTGGAATACATATTGAATAGAAGTGGGGATAATATATACCCCTGACGGACACCTCTTTTGATCTGCACACTTTCAGTGAGTTCGTTGCCAATTTTTGAACTTGCTGTTTGACCCCAGTATAGGTTTGCCACAATTCGAATGTCCTTGTCGTCAATACCTGTCTTTCGCAGAATATCTATCAATTGTTTATGATTGACGTTGTCAAATGCTTTTCCAAAATCTACAAAGCATACATACACGTCCTTATCAACGTCTGTACACCGCTGTATAGACACCTGGAGAGCGAACATTGCTTCTCTAGTTCCAAGTGCTTTCCGAAAACCAAACTGCGATATATCAATATTTAACTCACATTTATCATATATTCTTCTATGAATGATCTTAGTGAACGCTTAAGTGAAATGATTGATCAAGCTTATAAGCCGGTAGTCTCACAGATCTGGCATTTGGTTACTTCGGGATTGTAATAAATGTTGACTGCAGCCAGTTTTCTGGGATTTTACGGCTATTATATATGTTGTTAAAAAGTACAACTAGATTATTAAGGAACTGTTTGTCTGATTTACATAGGATTTTTAATATTTCGCAGGGTACATTTTCCGGACCTGCTGACTTATTGTTTTTTAGTGCTGCAATGGCATCTTCCATCTCCGATTTAATGATTGAAGGTCCTGTTTCTTCTTCTTTATATAGGTGATCATCAGTCCTGTCAGATGCAAATAATTTTTCTATGTATGATTTTCATGTTTTTAAGATCGTTGATGGCTCCGAGATAAGATTTCCATCGCTATCTTTTATGCTGTTGGGTGACTTATTGAATTTCCTCTTGTTTGTCATTGATTTTATTTTTTTGTGCATGTTGTAACTGTCGTATTTTCGTTCGTATTGGTATACCGAATATACCTATAAAACTTCATAAAAATTGGCAAGGCCGTGTCGAATAAGTATTGCAAATAACTCTGTGATACTTATATGGCTGTTAAAAATAGAAGTTATTGATAAAGGGTAAAAAATAAGGGCTGTGTGTATTTTTTAATACCACATTAAAAAAATAAAAATAAATTATTGCGTTCAAAAATAAAAAAAATGTTTGTGATGAACCACACTTACCCCTGAAGGGTATAAAAATTAGATTACGACCGATTCTCAGAGCTACTGAAAACAGTATGGAGAAATAAAAAATATTGGAAACGAAATGAAAGGCAACAATCATCAGGCCAATAATGACAAACACGACCTGATATTGAGAGGAGGAAAAGAATGCTAGACACAGTAGAGATGAAAACCCTTAGAGAAATCAATGGTAAGGTACTACGGGATATATAAGTTTAGATTTACGATGTATATGCAAGGTAGAGAACATCAAGGACTGGTTAAAAAATAGAAGAGTAGCATGGAACGATCATATAAGCCAAATGATACAAATTAAGTAGTAAGGATGGCGAGAGATGGTTCCTTATCATAGTTCAGGAAGACAATCACTAGAAATACCTCCATCCGTAAAAACGATGAAACGACAACCTACTGGAGGCATATTAAAAAACAGACCGTCATGTGTACACAAAATGGAGAAGAAAAAGACGGTATTTGTGATCTAAAAAAGTCGTCTTTCTTCAATGATCATTTTTAGACACTTAAAAAACAGACACTCATGTGTACGCAAAAAGAATAAGAAAAAGACGTTATCTGTGATCTAAAATAAACACTAACGAAACTGTAAAGGTAACCGACCAAGAGATCAAAAAAGCATAGAAGCTGAAAACATGCATAACAACCATAAAAGCATGGACAAAATTTACAAAAATTAAAAATATTTGACATTAGACCTAATGATGTTGCGGATGTTTTAAAACTTAATGAGAATATTATGGTGAAAATCATAATATAAACTTACATATGACACCTGAGGAAGGAGTTAGAAGAGCTTCTGCATCGAATAACTCTATGTTAAGATATTTTCCTGTTTTCCTATTGCATGTTTCCTAGCTATTATTACAAGTTCTTGACAAGGTTCATCATTTTTCGTATTGCTATCTGCACCATTCATCCCTTTTAATTTTTATTCTAATTTACATTTTGTATGTATAGTTTCTATCTATATTTCTTCTTATATTTTAATATGGTTGTTGCTATTTCAGTATGATGTTGGTATTTTAGTATGATGTTTTTATTTTTAATTTCTTTGATAGAATTTATTTTGGATACAGTGAATATCCAGAATATATTTTAATTTAACAGGAAAAATTTTAAGATAGTACCTATTGCCTTGTGGTATATAATTAATTATCTAATAATACTCATTCCAATTGTTGTTTAAATTGTTAAAAAAAGCTCAAACTTCAACATAATAAAAATAAAACTTCAACACCCGTGCTATAAATGATGTAACATTCCTGCTTTCTGAAATGGTTTAAGTTAAATTAAGTTTGAAAGTATCTTGTTGGTTCTTCCATTTTACCAGTTAAATAGCACTACGAATTTTAATTTGCACATTTCCTGCTATAGTTCCTGCAAAGTTAAGATATAACAATATAAAATATGTGAAAAGATATGACAAATATAATACATAATTATCTGTAGGTGTGTTAGTATATTGATTGTGGTTATTTATATTATTTATTTGTTTTAACAACCAACTTTTAATAAATTTATTTATTTAGCGTATGAAGTATATTTATCGAGCAAAAAGACAAGAGAGGGAATGTAACGGTAGTGGGGGCAAAAATATTGTTAGACAGGAAGTGCGATCTTTAGAGGCCACATTAAACAAGGAAAGAGAGTCTCTCTCCTTGTTTGACATCAAATTTAGTTGGGTTATATTATTGTTTGTCCCAAATGTCACATGAAATCTTATTTATATTGAAGTTTTTTAACAATTGTGTCGCATTTTAGACTATTATCGTTAATAATTAATTAAAACTTTCTCGTCTAAGACACATTCTGAAAAATATTATATAGCTACTGTTAATAAGTGTCGGAAAATTTAAATTTGGCGCATTTGCATTTCCGGATATGTCCGCCATTAGAGGCCACTTTTTTGGTCTCCTTTTCATAAGGATTAGATTCCCTCTTTTGTCTTTTTGCTCGATGAGTATAATATAACCATCTCAGTCCCAAGAAAAGAGTTTTTATTATTTTAGCAATATTTTCTATTTTCCCTCTTGATTTGTGAAAAAAATAAACGAAAATCTATAAAAACTAAAATTTGACAGACATAATTAAGACAGATCCAGCATAATGGACATCAGGACTTAACTTACATATAATTTAAGTATGAAAATGAAAAAAACATTCTCGTTCAGGAGAAATACACAAGTACATTTTGCATTTTACACAAAAGAATTCTTTAGTACACCCAGGGTTTCGGCAACGCATGTAAGAATTTTTATTATCGACAGAGCATATTGGCAAATGGTCATTACTAGTTTTTCTTACATCCATAGGCGGTAAGTGGACAACTTTAGATCGTTTTACTGGAATTATGGGCTCTTCATCTTCAGATGTCTCCGGTTTTCTTGAAATAGACGTACTAGCTTCTCTCCCATTTGTAGGCTTACCACCTAAAGCTAGTGACCTTCCAACATAAAGCTTAAATTCCAGTAAATCCATTACCTTGGATCTCTTATCGCCAAACGCTACCCTATCCTGACGATACTCTATCCATGAATTGGTCAATGCAAGATCAATAAAGTGCCAAAAGACACGTACAGGCCATTTTTTAGTGCGCATACAGATTCTGTAATATGAGATAAATCTGTCACACAAAATCCACGCCTCCCATTGACTGGTTGTATTTAACAATTGTGTTTGGACAAGGCACCAGAATATACTTTAAATTTTTTTTATCCCATCTTCGTACGTCAGTCAAAGGCAAAGAACCTGCAGATGTAGAAGCCATTGTCACAGATCTATTGTCCATCCATTTCAAAATAGAGACTTTCTTATCACCGCGTACCCATTCTTCATGCGACCCTCGGCCTTCTTTTAGTAAAGCAGAATCTTTTTTTATTTTGCTTCTAAGTACTCGTGGAATTCGATTATTCATAATGGTACCAATACCACATATTCCCTTTTCTAATAAATAATCGAGTAAATTAATGGAAGTGAAATATCTATCAAAGTAAATTGTTGTGCCTGGACATAAGTGCATCGACAATTTTTTCACTACAGAGCCTTCAATGCTCAAGGATTTGTCAGGAGCAGCATCAGGCCAAGTGTTTGCACCTTGATAAATAAAGAAATCCAAGACTAGCCCTGTTTTTAAAGCAAGCACAAAATTCTTCAAACCTACAGGATTAGGCTTGTTCTTGACATACTGTCGTAGACTAGTGGTTCCAGTGAACGGAATCATTTGTTCGTCAATTGACAACTCGAGAGATCTTTGAAGAGTAATACATTTACTTCTTACAACATCAAGAATAGGCTAAACTTTCCAAAGTTTAATTGCCTTTTTGGTCTCCTCTGAAACTGCACAGTTGTCTACAACATGTAAAAAATTTCGGAACTTGTAGATTCTATCTCGGGGAAGCTGAGTGATAATAGGAATTTCAATTCCTTTCATGAAATAGAGGCGTAAACGCGGTAGTCCAAAAATTCCCATCAAAATATGAATACCTGCTAGTTTCTTGAATTCCTCTGGAGTTGACTTTAGGCTTTTTTTTTTCGTTTGCTTGCATAGCTCGTATGTTACTTGCTGAAGACAAGTTTTCCCAAAAATGCTCAGGAAAATACTCAGAAAAATAATCCAATGGTGTCCAGAATTCGTGATCTTCATTAGCTATCCATGGATCAGCGACGTCGAAATCTTAAGTTTCAAAAATTTTTTCACTCCAAGTATTCTTAACATCATCTAATTGTTCCGTTTCCTGGAGTTTCTCCCAACGCTGCAGTAAAGGAGTATCATCGTCTGAATCCCACTCCGAATCTGAATCATTTTCTAAATCATTTTGGGCATTATTTTCGTTTTCATGAAAAACATCTGAAAGGTTTTCAGAAACATTCTCTTTCTCACTGCAATCATTATTATTATATATTTACCACAAAAACGTCCAAATATCAAATAACATAAATGTCAAACAATCAATAATTTAAAATACAGAAAAACACTACAACTTACTGCATTTTGTGGAGACGCCATCATAACCTCACAAGTTTCACCACATGTAACAACAAACTAATGAAGTAGGCGTTGTAGTCAAATTTTGCAAACGAGTAAATTTTACTGATAAATAGGAAGTCCAATAAGCTGCACTATAGGACGCGGCGATGCTTAACCCGATTAGTCACCGTGTAAAAAATTAGTAAACATTGTCCAGCAGGCTGCACGTATGGACTGAGGAGGATAAAAAATCAGTTGATCGATTTTTAATTTTAATTTACTATTTTTTACAAATTCTAATCCAATATACACAGTGAACCACTTTTGTATGATGACATCATCACCATTTTTTTAATGAAACCCCAATTTTTTTCAATTTATATATTTTCCTTGCTGAGCGGATTCCAAAACTGTATAACACGTTGCCTCAAATTGGTAAAGTTGACATCATCTACGTATCGTCCGTCAGCAAATTTAAACAAAAATATAACTTCCAGACCATCTTCTACCACCTTTAGTCCAGACAAATTAATATATGTATTTAATCTTCCTACTCTTCCGAGTAAAAGTTAATGTTACATTATTTGTCTATGGGTATTGGTGGACCCAGTATATAAAACTTATACCTGTTTTGAATTAAATTCCTTTTTTTTTAATAATTCGTAGAAGCTTTTGTGGTTTCATGTTATCGATGTATCCAAACTAAAAAAATAGTACATTGTTTACCGGGTAGTAAAAGCTTAACATTCCTGGACGACTGTGAATATTGCTAAGTCGAGGCGCAAGCCGAGACTTAGCAACACAGAGTCCAGGAATGTGGCTTTTCCTACGAGGTAAACATACTTTTTTTCCGCAAATCGTTTAAAATTCGACAGATGATGTTGATTGATTTAAAAAAAAAACGCGATAATTTTATTCCCAAATAAATGGTGCTTTGAAATTCCTAATAAAATTACTTGGGTTACTATGGAAACGTATTGAGGTTGAATTGTCAAACTTATGTAGAACACTAACAACTGTACGGAAATATCATTTCCTACAGTAAGGAAATGACATTTCCTTACAGTAAGGAAGTCCTGACTTTTTCTTCAAGAAATTTTGACAGGAATGTCAAAATTTCCTGGCGATTTGCGGAAAAAGATTTTTGAAATGATATTTCCGTACAGTTGTTAGTGTTCTACATAAATGATACAAGTTTGACAATTCAACCTCAATACGTTTCCATAGTAACCCAAGTAATTTTATTAGGAATTTCAAAGCACCATTTATTTGGGAATAAAATTATCGCGTTTTTTTTTAAATCAATAAATATCTGTCGAATTTTAAACGATTTGCGGAAAAATAGTATGTTTACCTCGTAGGAAAAGCCACATTCCTGGACTCTGTGTTGCTAGCTCGCTTGCGCTGACTAGCAATCTTCACAGTCGTCCAGGAATGTTAAGCTTTTCCTACCCGGTAAACAATGTACTATTTTTGTAATAAAAAATATAGTAAAATTTTATATTCAATTAAAATTATATATTTATTCAATGCAACTTTTACAAAAAAAATTTGAGTGAACTAAAAACATTTTTATTGTAATAAAAAATATAATAAACCTTTATATTCATTTAAAATTATATATTTTTTGAAAACTAAGACAATTATTGAGCACAAGTTTAAGCAAATCTTGCCAAGTACTTTCGCTTACTACAGCATCTTCACGGGCATTTCGTCAAGATTGGGCTATCCAGCAACTGTAGAATGTGATAAACATGAATTTTAACAAAAAATTGTACAAAACACTACACTAAAACAAGGACAAATAGTTTAAAATTATTTAAACCCCATATCAATTAATTATGTATTTATTCAATGCAACTTTTACAAACGATATTTAAATGATCAGGACAAATAAACATCTTACATGTTTGACATCTTGTACGAGATTTTCTGTCTTTTTCCCATCCGCACTGTTTACACCTTATACCCATTTATTTTACTTTACTTTACCTACTTATACCCACGTGGTAGATGTTTTTTAGCAGTTCTATATTGGTTTTGGAAAATCTATGGCAATTAGAACTGTTGGTAAAATTCATCTAATAATGCTATCCAGTTGATATATATATATATATATATATATATATATATATATATATATATATATATATATATATATATATATATATATATATATCTTCTTCTTAAGGTTCCATCTTCTAACGAAGGTTGGATATCAACATGGCAATTCTTATTTTACTTACAGCAGCTCTAAATAGTTGGCTAGAGCTCAGACTAAACCATTCCTTAGATCTCGTAGCCAGGAGGTTCGTCTTCTTCCTACATCTCTTTTACCTTTTATTTTGCCCTCTATAATCAAACGTAGTAGCCCATAACGAGGACCTCTTAATATATGACCGAAATATTC